TGCTGCTGCTGTAGCTGCTTTAGTGGCATCTGTGTTCAAAGTGGCACCCCAAACAGCACCTTTATGGCCTAGAAACGTGCCAATCCAGTCCCCTGTGTCACCCTGACGTAGCATAGGCTTGCCATCTTCACAGAAACAAAACCAACATTCAGGTAACGTGGTAAAAGAAGAAAGCTGGGGGTTTTAGGGTTTTTTTTTGTTGTTTTTTCCCTTTGTTTTGTTTTGCTTGTTTTTTAAATATTCCCTTGCACCAGCATGTGGAAATACCTCATATTTTATGAAGCCGTTCTTTGCAAAGGAGTTTAGCTGAATAGCTTAGCTGTGCAGCTGTACTTGCTGCATGCCTGTGAACTGTATAGACATTCAAATACTCATACAAATGGGATAAAAGTTTTCTGATACAAGTTTTCTTTACGTTTGTGTTAAGATAGAAGGAAGCGTTAGAATTTTATTTTTACTAAAGATTTCTTCAGACAGGACAGATTTGTTATTTTACTTTGGAACAATATTATCAGGCTGTCTGTATGCAGGCACAGCTTCACGTTTGCAATGAGATATGTTTAAAACACAGAGATAAAAATGGAGCAGTAATAGAACGCCTTTCCTATCGCTTTTTTTTTTTTTCTGGGAGGCTATCAAAGAGTTGAGGCAAGATGTAGAGCTCAGCTGGAAGCACTTCAAGGCAGAAAGGAATGTCCTTTAAAATCTGTGCATACATAGGATTAATATACACATGTATAAAGAGACGACGCTATTCACACACTGAGAGAGTTCTCATCATTCGGTGTGCAGCAAGGCAGCTGCCCTGGTCAAACGGGAGATCACTTTAGACCTACAGCCTGCGTGCACAGACGGTAGAAACGGGAAGTTCAACAAATAAACCCTTTTGGAAGCTTCCCACCCCCTCAGCAGTTCGGATCCCAGCCGGGATCCCAGCTCCGATACCCCCGGGATAGCCCGACAGTGGGGCACCACGAACACCAGCCGTGCGCTCCCTCCCTCATCCCCAGCTGTGTCATGGACAGGCCCCCCCGGGCACAGCCCCCCGGGGCGGCGATGCGCGGCCTGCGAGCAGCGGGGCTCCCCCGCACCCACCCGGGGTTCCCCCTCGCCTACCCTGGGGCTCCTTCCCCCGCACCCGCCCCGGGGCTCGCCCACCTCCCCGCTGGGCCCCGCCGCACAAAGCGGCCCGCCCCGCTCACCCTTGCAGGCGCTGATCAGGAAATATCCGAAGGGGGTGACTCTGCTGAAGGCCAGGTCCACCACGGGCCGGGTGTGGCCGGAGCAGGTGAGCGGGGTCTGCCTCATGGCCATGGCGGGGCCGGGACGCGGGGCTGGGCAGGACGCGGGTCCGGCCCGGCGGGAGCGGCGGCGGCGCGGGAAGTGACGGGCAGGAAGCGCTTCCAGGCGGACGCGCGTCACGGGCGGGGCGCGGCCTCGCCGGCCGGGGTGGGATGAGGTGGAATGGGTTGAAATATCTCGGCTGAGGGGGAGCGCTGGGGGCTTCTCTCATCCCGCTTTCTGCGGGAAAAACAGCGTCTTTGCTGTTCCACTCACTGGCAACGCACCCCAGGGCTGAGTGCCGGGCGCCTCAGTGCTCCGCTGTTGTGACTAGAAGCCCTTCTCCATCAGTTCCCAACCCGCCTCAGCCTGGCTTTTCAGTTGTTGGTGTTGCACGTAAATCGATACCAGTTCTCGCACTGCCCTGCCCGCCTCCCCGTGTCCAGCTCCGTCCCAAAGAGTTCTCCGTGCACCTGTGGTGCAAACCGAACCAGCAGAAAATAACTCCTCGCAAAAGGCAGCCCGGCTCTTTCTGTAGGGCCGGCTCCTCTCACGGCTCACTGCGGGGTCTGATAAACCTTTTTGGCCGAAAAGGTGATGGGAAAACACTGAAGGACTTCAGGGACACATTGCAGAACCCAGATGGGTTGACATAAAAGACAAGGGAGGCAAGCTGGTGGTGGTGTCTGAACTTGCTCTCAGAAGCGTCTACAGGGTGGGATTTGAAGATGTGTCACCGGCCATAAAGACGAGGCAAATGGTGTTTCTCTTAACAGGCTAAAACCAGAATTTTACTGACAGTTACTCATCTCCTTTTAAGTGTTTCAATTAGGAAAAGCATTGAAATCATTAACAGATAATTGAAGTTTAGGATAACTTCAGTCTTTCACAGCTTCTCTATTTAAAGAATAGGCACCACGTTTCACTTTCTTCTGGCGTTTCATTTACCACCCAAGAGTTCTCAAAAGTAACTCCTAATGATTTTATAATTTCATGTACTAGCACTGTAACTGACATTTCCAGTTTTTCCACACAGAGCCACAGATTACCACATAGACCTTTAGAGTGTCTTTAAGATTTTCTGGATTTTTCTTTAACAGTGATAACAGTCTCTTACTGTACTTTGACACAGGCCTGTAGCTGAATCACTTAAGTCTCAGACCACAGATTAAAATCATGGGAAATTCAAATGCATCTCCAAAAGCTTTTAACATTAAAAGTTATATTTAAATAGAATTCCTGAAATGTGTGTTTCTCATGATAAAACTGTGACTGAGAAATTTTTTATTGTATTTTATCCCACCCTTGGGAATACTTCAAGAGCTTAATGTATAAAATATTTTTCTTCAGTGGGGTGGCTAAAACTTCAGGGCATGAAAGTGTGCATTTTTTATAATTTATATTATAGCAGTGTTTCCAAGATGTCATGGTATATTAGTCTTAGTGTACTAAACCTTACCTGTATGTTCTCTATTTGTCCTAGCCTTCATTTTTTTTTTTCCTTCGTTCCTACTTGTACATCTGTTTTGATTATGAGCAGAGTCATTGCACACCAAAAAGTACATTTCTAGGAATGGGCCAGCAACCAGGGAGAAAGATTGGTAGAGATCCAAATTATATTTGAAAAAGGACTAAACAAAGATTTATTACTTTTATATTTACATTTTTCAAAACCTTATCTAAACATGGGGTTATGTCTCCTTGTTAGAAATGCTGTTTGGGTTTACTCTTTAAAAAAATTCGTCTGGTAAATGATCTTATCAACTTTTTGAGTGAAAAGAAAGAGAGATCCTATCAGTCAGTACAGATAAAAATATTCAATTTAAATTACCTGCTTAAAATTCAGGGTTGAGGAATGGAAAGAAGAGGAATATTGTGTTTGGGGAGGTTTATTTGTGATGATTTCATAGCTTTGCTTGATTTTGCCCTTTATTAAATGGAGCATGATTTTTCACCTGCACAAAGCAATAATACGACATCCACTTGGGAAGTCACAAAATCTATAACAGGCAGAGAAAGGCAAAAATATTTCCAATTTGCCAATAAGTAGCTGAAAATCAGAAAAGGAGAAAAATCATGGAGGTATGAAATCTATAAAATATAGACATTAGAAATCCCACTAGGCCAAGCAGAACTGTTGAGTACTATTATGTATTAAGTTTTTCATATGTTGCAGGAACATGAAAATTCTAGTAAGGAACATACTGGGTGTCACTAAGACAGATCCTTAAAATGGGCTTTTATTACCTACTGTGGGACCAAGGCAGACTTTGGGCATCATCCTGCAAAGGACAATAATTGTACTGGGTAGAAACCTGTGTATTGATTGTTATCAACCACTGCCCAGTTTTATAAAAGTTCTAATTCTGCTGGTAGACGGACTCAGTGCGTGTAGATGATTATGTGAACCCCAGTCCCACACAGTGATCGTATCTGCTTCCAGCAGTAGGTACTTGATTGATTCCCAATTAAATCCTGACACTTCCCCACTAGCCCCAGCCACACAGCCTCTCGGGTCTCATTTCCTACCCACCAGCTCCCCTGCAGCAGTTTCCAGAAACTGATTTTTGCCTTCTGCACTGAAGGTGTTTCCATTCCTACGTGGACATGGCTGGTCAGGAAGAGTAGGCATCAAGATCTTAAGAGTGTGGATTTAA